TCTTTTGACCGTCTCCTTTCTGGTCCCCACGGAGAAGACACACCTGCCACTCAGGTACACTTGCCTACCTGATTCCCTTTGTAATGGCCCTGACACACTCAAGTACACCATGTTATTTGCTAGCCATTCATCGCCGGCGGTGCCAAAACCACAAAAGTCACTTCTTTTGACTTCTGATGTCTCATCGGCGTCTCTGGGTGAAACATGAACAGGGAGTGCCTCCTTAGGAAACCCAGCGTGGGGCCGATGATGTCCATCCATCCTTCCAGTCTGCTTCCTTGTTACTCAATCTAGGCTAAACCACAGCTTAATCTGGGGCTTTGTTCCTTGCGGTTCCACCTTCCGGGTGGGGCAAATCGAGCGGAAGGGAAGCGGGCCGTTTGAAGATCAGCGGTCAGTCGTAAACCGAGGACTTCCTATCATTTGTGCAGCAAACAGGGCTGCTGCCTTTGGGACTCCAGGCCTGGTTTCTGCAGAAATGTCCCCTCCGGGCTTTAACATCTCCTGAGTCTACGCCTCCAGGAATAAACTACCCAGCCGAATCTGCTCGGCCGGTGAACCGCACGAAACCAGGAACACAAAACTCGGGTTTATTTCTTTCATTTCAGTTCATTTGTTTGGTTTTTCTCTCCCTCTGCCAGCACGAGCTGACTTTTGGTGCAGTTGAAACTGGGCCAGCCTTGTTCCTTCTCTCCTCCCAACCCTCTTTTCCATTTTTTTTTTCTGAGCTCATTCAAACATTTAATTTCATTTCCTCATTTTTTTCCCTGCCCACCGGGTGCTGGCAGCGCCTGGTTCCAAGGTTTGGAGAAAAAACAAAAGCAGAAACTGCCTTGGTTTCAGAAGTTTTACTTGTATTCTCCCCAAGGCTAGGAACAAAGATTGTTTATTACATTTAATAAGGATAGAATAGAAATAATAGAATAGAATAGAATAGAATAGAATAGAATAGAATAGAATAGAATAGAATATAGGGAACAGAATAGAATAGAAATAAGTAGAATAGAATAGAATAGAATAGAATAGAGAAATGAAGGAATAGAATAGAATAGAATAGAATAGAATAGAATAGAATAGAATAGAATATAGGGAATAGAATAGAATAGAAATAAGAAGAAATAGAATAGAATAGAATAGAAATAAGTAGAATAGAATAGAATAGAGAAATGAAGGAATAGAATAGAATAGAATAGAATAGAAATAAGAAGAAATAGAATAGAATAGAATAGAATAGAATAGAAATAAGTAGAATAGAATAGAATAGAATAGAGCTGGAAGGGGCCTTGAAGGTCATCTAGTCCAACCCCCTGCTCAGGCAGGAAACCCTAAACCATTTCAGACAAATGGCTGTCCAATCTCTTCTTTAAAAAAATATGCTCTAATCAGTTGGCAAACAGTCTGCTTACTTCCCTTTGTATTGCTTAAACGGTTTCCTGGAACTATATCGGGTGGAAGAACAAGTGAAGAAAAAAAAAAAAAACCTTGAGCAGGGCTAGTAGCGTGGTCTAGATGACCTCTAAGGTCCCTTCCAGGGTCCTGCAATGCTGGCGAGACGAGTGTTTTGTTTCCTCCAGGAAATTTTTTTGGGGGGTAAACGTGCAAAAGAAAGAGGCGGTAGAATTAAAATTTGAATTTTTATTTATTCCGTTCCCTCATGTCTCCAAAAATGGCTTCTCAGGAACTTCCCCCCCCCTTTTTTTTCCCCAAAGGAAGGGCAAGAAAGAGATGGGGGAGGCCAGGGTCTGTCCTTCCTCTTTGCCTCCAAAAATCTCCCACCTTTAATTCCTCTTCTCCGGAGATGGATTGTTGCTTTCTCCCGCTACGAAACTTCCCATAAATTAATAATTGGCCATAAATTAATAAAAAGCAAAATAGTCAACGTGTCAAGAGTTCATTGGTTTTTGACTCCCTGTCGAGATCTTGTGGCAGGGAGTCCCGCCGGCCCGGAGATTTTTTTGAAGGAAAATAGCCAGCGAGGTCAATATGCGGCTCCAAGCTTCTAGTCCTCAGTGTCTTGGCATGGCTCCCGGTGTAGGAAGAGCAACAAATTCCTCTTCCCCCCCCCTCCTCCAATCCGTAATTCTGCTCGCGGTCAAGGGAGGAGTGAGCAACTCTCTGGAACCCCCCCTAAAAAAAATCACCCCGCTTTTTCACTGGGGGGGGGCCTTGCTTGTCCAAAAAGCTGAATTTTATATGCCAAAGTTCAACTTTTTCCCCCCTCCAATTTAACCCCCCTCCAAAGAAATCCGGCTGTAGGAAGTGCGCCCCCTACAGTTCGTCGTTGGCCACGGTAGGGTTGATGTAAGAGAAGGGTTTCGTCCCGTTTTTGGGGTGACCCTGAGGAGGAAGCAGAAGAGAAGATTGGGGGGTCCACCGATTTGCAGCTTTTCCCCCCACCTCCCCCAGCCTCAATCTCCATCTGGGTATCTGACGGTTCACACATTACTCTAAACCCGGGTTGAGTTGAGGGCGGCTAGATCCCGCTTTCGCACTAGCACAGACCCGACTCGGAGTGGCCCTCGCCAAGAATTCTGGGAATTGAAGTTCCCTGGCGGATTTTGTGCCCTTTGCACGAATGTCGAGTTTTGCAAACTCGGGGGGGGCCTCGATTGCTGGCTTAAGGACACTGTTTCTGGCTTGTTCTAGAAATCCTGGCTTGGGAAGAGCGGGAAAGCCGGGATTACAAAGCCCATCCCTCCCTGCCTGCCTGCCAGCTCGCCTTTGGTCCCGGCTGTGTGCAGACAGTGCAGAGAATTCCCATGGATCCAACACCAATGTGACAGAAAGGGCTGATGCGGCTATTTATATCGAATCAAGAGGGAGGGATTAAATAAATACATGAAAAATAAATAAATGTCTCAAATTCTTTGGCAAGGTGTGGCCGTGTTTAAACAGCCGGGACAAGCAGCAAAGGTTTCTGTTTCCCAGTGGTAAGAAAAAAAAATTGACTTTGGGTCAAATGCATTTTTTAAAAAATAATAATAATAATAATAACCTAAACCAAATATACCAGTTTGCGTGTTATAAAGATTGCTCAAATGTTGTGGGTGGAGAAACGGTGTGCGTGTGTGTGTCTGTGTGTGTGTGTGTGGAGTTTATCGCAGGTGGGAAAAAGGTAACTCGGAGGGAGGGTGCTGGGGAATGGCAAAAGGCCTTCGGAATTGTGTCTGTGTTGTGATTGGGTCATTTATTAACGCGAACAAAACAAACTTGGTTTGGGAATTGGCGTAGTTCCTTTTGCGTTGCTTGCTGTTCACAAGCGCCAGCTCGGCTAAGAATTGGGAGGGAGGGAGGGAGGAAATAAATGGAGGGAGAGATGGATGAAAAAGGGAGGGAGGGAGGAGAAGAAAGAAGGAAGGAAAAGAATGAAAAAAGAAAGGAGGAAGGAAGGAAGGAAGGAGAAGAAAGAAGGGAGGTAAGGAAGGAAGGAAGGATGAAGGGATGGAGCGTGGGAGGAAGGAGAAAAGAAAGGAAAAGAATGAAAGAGGAAAGGAAAGGAAGGAAGGAAATGGAGGGAGGGATGAAGAAGGGATGGAGCGTGGGAGAAAGGAGAAGAAAAGAAAGAAGAAAAAGAATGAAAGAGGAAAGGAAAGGAAGAAAGGAAGGAAATGGAGGGAGGGATGAAGAAGGGATGGAGTGTGGGAAGAAGGAGAAGAAGAAAGAAGGAAAATGAAAGAGAAAGAAAGAAAAGAAAAAGAAAGAAAGAAAGAAAGAAAGAAAGAAAGAAAGAAAGAAAAGAAAGAAAAGGGAGGGAACGATTTAATAATAATAATAATAATAATAATAATAATAATAATTTAATTTGTACCCCGCCCTTCTCCTCACCGGACTCAGGGCGGCTAACAGCCTTATAAAACCACAATACAATACATATCTATATTAAAAGCCATCTATTTAAGAAAATTAATTTCCCCCTGAAAATGAACGAATCACCCCTTGTCCAACTTTGATCTCTTCTCTATGGACTTCTCCACTGCTAGGAGGCTTAAAAAAAAAAAAAAAAAAAGCCCGAGGGCCTTTCTGGATTTCTTAATGAGGACTAGAAACCTGCCTGGGCTCTCCTTGCTGAGGAAAAGCAGAGGATTGCCCCCTCTCCCCCCCCCCTGCCCCCAGCCCCTGGGTGGGAAGGCAACAGTTGTGCTGAAAAGCTTAGGCAACCTCCAGATGCTTCAGTGTGGTGTGTAAACACGGCCGGGTCACGAGGGAGGGTGGGGAGCAGCCGGGCCAGCTGAAGCCCTGCGTGTGTCTCCCCCCGCCTCAACAGTCAAGGGCAAACAAATTGCTGCCAGTTTGGGAAAGTCCCTCTGTGAGGTCTGGAGAGGGAGAAAACGGAATAAAAAGCGTCCCCCCCCCCCATCCCCTCCTGGCCCCGGCTGGAGCGGAGCTGGATATTTGCACAACCGGCAGTGTTTATGCAGTGCAGCCAAGCACGTAATGGCACGGAAGGGGCCAGTTCGGCTTAGATGGGCCCTCCGCCACTGGCCGGCTGCAGAGGTCTCAGGCCGGGCTCTCCTCCCTTGCCGGTTCTGCCAGGCCCAGGAGACAGAGGGTGCCCCTTGGCTGGGCATCAGTTCAGCCTGGGGCAGGGGGTGCCCTGAAGGTCCCCAGGGTCCAGTCTAGAAGGAAGGGGAGGCTCACTGAGAAATGGCACACACACACACACACACACACACACACACTCATTATAGGGAGCCCTAGGATCAGAGGGGAGGGAAGAGGGGGGGGGAGGAAGGGCAGGGAAGAAAAGGGGAGGAGGAGGAGGAGGAGGAAAGATAAAGAGAAATCAAGTTAGATAAAGAAGAAAGGAAAAAGGGAAGGGAGGGAAGGAAGGAAAAAAAGAAAAAGAAAGAAAGAAAAGTAAGGAGAAAAAGAAAAAGAAGGAAGAGAAGGAAGGAGAAAAAGAAAAAAGGAAAGAAAGAAAGAGAAAAAAGGAAGGAAGGAGAAAGAAAGAAAGAAAGAAAGAAAGAAAGAAAGAAAAAGAAAAAAGGAGGAAGGAAGAGGGAGGGAAGGAAGGAAGGAAGAAAGAAAAAAGAAAGAAAGGGAAGGAGAGAAAGAAAGAAAAAGAAGGAAGGAAGGGGAAAGAAAGAAGAAAGAAAGAAAGAAAAAGAAAGGAAGGAGAAAGAGAAAGAAAGAAATGGAAGGAAGGAAGGAGAGAGAAAGAAAGAAAAAAGAGAAGGAAGGGAGAGAGAAGAAAGAAAAAAGAAAGAAAGAAAGAAAGAAAGAAAGAAAGAAAGAAAGAAAGAAAGAAAGAAAGAAAGAAAGAGAGTTTCGCTAGCCCATCAATGGCTGCTGTAACCTTCGCTGCTTTCCTTTCTCTTTACATTCCCTAAATTCTTCCTCCCGGCTTTCCAAAGGTCCACCACAGCTGCCCCTGCGCCTTTCCCACGGGGGTGTGAGGCTGGACCCTCTGCCTGTATCTCAGGGTGCAGAAGGCCTGGCCCCCGGGCACCCCTCCTCCGAGACCCCAAGAACAGCCTGCGAAACCCTCCGGGCGGGGAACTCACTGTCTGGTGTTCCGGGCTGTGCCCGGCGCTCACCTCTCCGTAGGGGTTTTGCTTCTGGTTGGGGGCCGCGTAGCGTCCGTGGGTCTGGTATGTGGGGTACTCGTTCATGGGGTGGTACGAATCCCGGCCACTAAGTAGCTCCATGCTTCCCCGGTGCTTCCGGCGACAGTAGAAGACGAACTGCGATAGAGCGGAGGAGGAAAGCCATTAATTGGGGGGGGGCACGGAGGGCTGTCCTCCACTTACGACCGTTCATTTAATGACCATTTGAAGTCTGAACTTAACAACGGTGCAGAAAAAAAGGACTTAGGGCCGCTTTTCTCACAGCATCCCCGTGGCCACGTGAACAAAATTGGCAACTGACTCATATTTATGACGGTCGCAGCGTCCCGGGGTCACGGGATCCCCTTTGGTGATCTCCTGATGCGCAAAGTCAAGGGGTGGTGGGGAAGACCGACTCGCTTAACAACTTTGTCACAGAAAAGTCGTACAAAGGGGCAAAACCCGCTGAACATATTTCTCGCTGAGCCACGTAAACTCTTGGCTCTGTTGCGGTCGTAAAGAGAGGACTGCCTGTACCGCCCCCCCTCCCCTTTTCTCCCCATCTTTTCTGTCGCAAGCCTAGGAAGCACGTACACACACACCACCCCGCTCGGCCTCTCCAGCTTTCTCACACTTAACAACCGTTACAGGCGGGGATTTTGCGAGTCGCTGGAAACCTCACACTCCCAACAACTCACCAGCCACAATAGGGCGAGGAGCAGGACGAAAACCAGGAAGCACACCAGGACGAGAAGAGCGATGCCCCAGCCTGGGACCGTCTCCGTGGCAACGGTCGGTTTGGTGGCACTCACTGCAAGGAAGAAAGCAAAGAGATCAGGTTTTGCGTCGGGCGGGAAGACGAGAGAAAAAGAATTACGGTTCTCACGCGGCCTTTTTCGAGCAATCGCCCCTCAAAATTGTTACAAGTGCGCAGGACGGATGGTGTACCGGCCTGGAAACATCCCCAGAGGCCTGACAGAAAATCCTACGGGGCCGGTGGTTGTAGTTGCAGGTAGTCCTCGACTTACGACAGTTCGGTCACTGACCGAAGTTGCAACTGCGCTGAAAAAAAACGACTTTTTCAGCCTTACGACCGTCACTGCATCCACATGGTCGTGTGATCAAAATCCTGAGTCATATTTGTGACGGTCACAGCGCCCCGGGCTCACGTGATCTCCCTTTTGCGGCCTTCTGACAGGCAAAGTCGTCAATGGGGAAGCCGGATTCGCTTAACGACCGCGTAGCGCTAATTCAAAAGCCGCAGTGATCGCCAAGCATTCGAATTTCGATCACGCGACCGTGGGGAACGTACGATGGTCACAGGTGTGTGGGAAACGGTCGTGAATCCCTCTTTTCAGTGCCGTTGCAACTTCGAACAGCTGCTAAGCGAACTGTCGTAAGTCGAGGACTCACTGCGAAGCCAGGGAAGAGGGAGAAAGCGCCCCCCCTCTCCAAACTCCCCCATCTAAAGATAATTGTGTTAGCACGTTGCCGCTCACAACAAACTCCAGGTCGGGGTTAATTGCGAGGGACACCAGCAGCGAAACTGTTGCCCTGTGTGAGAGAAAACGCACATTATCTGCCTGGCTTCTGATGTGCATCCTCTTGTGGCTGCCCTGAGGACTAGAAACTTGATTGTGTGGCTTGGGAAGCGAGAATTTCAGAAGCGTCGTTTCCGCCTTGCTGTTGCAACTTTGATCGGTCACTAACATCTGTATTTTGCTTGACTTCCCAAGGCATCTTCCTGCTAGGAATGTTATTCTCACCTCTTACTTGGCTCAACTGTAGCCCCGCCGTGGAGTTGGTGTCGGCGCTGCTCAAAATGTTCTCCACTTCACTTTCTGATTTTAAATTGGTTCCTTCGAAAAATAATTGTGATTCCACAGCCACGGAGCCTTCCCTGTGGATTCAAAAGAAAAGACGGAAGTTAAAGAAATTCAAGCCAATAAGCCACCCCCCCCGAATCGTTTACTGTAAGGATAGAACAAGTGCTTCACCCCAAAAATAAAATTAAAATTAAATTAAAAAAACAGGAGACGGGTAGGGCAAACTGCCCTCTCTCCTGTTTGAACCACAAACTTTGTTGTTGTTGTTGTTGTTTTTAAAATAATATTTTTGTTAAGAGGTTTCAGCGACGATAGCAGAAGGGAACGCAAGCGAAAAAGAAAAAAAAGGGGGGGAACAGAATAAAAGCTGGCGAGGAAGCGAGGAAGGAAAAAAGAGAAAGATAACGCGAACTAAGAAAAGAAAAGAAAAACGGGCGGGGCCGAAAGGTGGAAGAAAGCAAGACGGAACGAAAATAGAGAAAAAGGCCGTATAAACTAGGGGGAAAAGAAAAAAAGAATAAAAAGAATAAAAGCCGCAAGAAAGCAAAGAAGAAAGGGAAAAGATCATGCAAACTCGAAAGAAAAAGAAAAGCAGAATGAAAGGTGAAAGAGAGCAAGGAAGAAGAAAAAAGATAATATAAGCTAAAAAGAAGAACAGAAGACGCAAGAAAAGAGGGGGGGAAAACAGACAAGAAAGAAACTTTCCAATCTGATTAAAACAAACTTAGTTTGTTTCACTATGTCTGCTCTAAATGAACAGATATAACTCTTTCCTTCCTTCCTTCCTTCCTTCCTTCCTTCCTTCCTCCCTCTTTCTTTCTTTCTCTCTTTTCCTTTCTTTCTTTCTATTTTTCTTTCTTTCTCCCTTTCTTCTTTCTTTCTTTCCTTCTTTCCTTCTTTCTTTCTTTCTTTCTTTCTTTCTTTTTCTTTCTTTCTTTCTTTCCTTCCTTCCTTCTATTTTTCTTTCTTTCTTTCTCCCTTTCTTTCTTTCTTTCTTTCTTTCTCTCTCTTTCTCTCTTTCTTCCTTCCTTCCTTTTTTCTTTCTCTCTTTCTCTCTCTCTCTCTTTCTTTCTTTCTTTCTTTCTCTTTCTCTCTTTCTCTCTTCCTTCCTTTTTTCTTTCTCTCTTTCTCTCTCTCTTTCTTTCTTTCTTTCTGTTTTCCTTCCTTCCTTCCTTCCTCCCTCTTTCTTTCTTTCTTTCTTTCTTTCTTTCTCTCTTTTCCTTTCTTTCTTTCTATTTTTCTTTCTTTCTCCCTTTCTTCTTTCTTTCTTTCCTTCTTTCCTTCTTTCCTTCTTTCCTTCTTTCCTTCTTTCTCTTTCTTTCTTTCTTTCTCTCTCTTTCTCTCTTTCTCTCTTTCTCTCTTCCTTCCTTTTTTCTTTCTTTCTCTCTTTCTCTCTCTCTCTCTCTTTCTTTCTTTCTTTCTTTGTTTGTTTTCCTTCCTTCCTTCCTTCCTTCCTTCCTTCCTTCCTTCCTTCCTTCCTTCCTTCCTTCCTTCCTTCCTTCCTTCCTTCCTTCCATGGAGCAGAGTTCTAATAAGTAATGGGGGAAAGTTATCCCACAGCAAAATCAAAAGCAGCACAAGCAGAAGGGCAGCACCATAAAGCTTGCAGTGGTGCTAAAAGAGAGGCACTTTTTTTTTTTGTTTTTGAAAGGGTACAATCAGGGCTTACCCTGGTATATATATATATATATAAAACTTCTTTGGGTGGCTGCTTTCCTGGTGCTTTGGCATGCAATGCCTTGGAGGTAATTGAACGGCGCTGAGGGGGATTGAGGTGCCCTGGTGTTTAAGGCTGCAGCCGCCTTTGATTTTTGACCCCTGAATTTTGAGGGTTTCTGTTTAATTCTGTTTCCATACCTGAAGGCGATAATGATGTAGCCTGTATAACCGAACTGGCAGGTGCTACAGTTGTACAGGTTGTCATACTGTGAAAAGAAAGAGGAAGAGGAAGGAATGGAGGGAGGGAGGGATGGAGGGAGGGAGGGAGAAGAGAGAGAGAGACAAAGAAAGAAAGAAAAAAGAGAAAGAAAGAAAGAAAGAAAGAGAAAGAAAGAAAGAAAGAAAGAGAAAAAAGAGAAAAAAGAATGAAAGAAAGAAAGAAAGAGAAAGAAAGAAAGAAAGAAAGAAAGAAAGAGAAAAAAGAAAGAAAGAAAGAAAGAAGAAAGAGGAAGGAAGGAAGGAAGGAAGGAAGGAAGGAAAAAAAGAAAAAAGAGAAAGAAAGAAGAAAGAAAGAAAAAAGAGAAAGAGAAAGAAAGAAAGAAAAAGAGAAAGAGGAAAAGAAAGAAAGAAAGAAAGAAGAAAAAAGAAAGAAAGAAAGAAAGAAGAAAGAGGAAGGAAGGAAGGAAAAAAAGAAAAAAGAGAAAGAAAGAAAGAAAGAAAAAAGAGAAAGAGAAAGAGAAAGAAAGAAAGAAAAAGAGAAAGAGGGAAAGAAAGAAAGAACGAAAGGGAGGGTGGAAGAAAAAGAAAGAAAGAAAGAAGAAAAAAGAAAGAAAAAACAGACATGTCAAAATACAATTGCTGTGTTTATTTTCCACTTTTAAATGATGATCTAATGTTTCTCAAACTTATAACTTTAAGATGTGTCAACTCCCAGAACTGACTGTGTGCTGAAGTCCACCCATCTTAAAAGTTCTCAAGTTCTGAGAGACACTTAATTTCTTTCCCATCCCTCCCCTCAATTTGCACAACGATGCATTGATTCAGGGACTGGCCCAACACGGGAGAGAAAAAACACAAGGCTGTGGGCATTTTTGCAAACTAAACTCTCATTTGCCACCCACAAATGAGAGTATTAATAGGCCTCCTTTTCATTTGGGAGCCATTATCATCCCACTTTATCCAAAACTAATTTTGGAGCGATGAGGACCAGAAACGTGACCCGATTTGAAACAAAACCCGCATTCTCCTCAAATCTACGGCTGTTATCACAGTTGAGGGTGCCATTTCAGGTACTGAGATGGATGGGGAGGGTCTGAAGGCACAAAATCTGAAATAATTTCAAACCCAATTTGTCCCCAAACTTGGCAACTTTAAGACTGATGGACTTCAACTCCCAGAATTCCCCAGCCAATAGGGGAGAATTTTTAAAGTTTCCAGGTTTAGAGACGCCCCCTGCTTTAACCTACCGCAAATCTCACGAAAGATGGCGTCATCTTTTTCCCTGGCGAATTAGGGGCCCATAATTTTAAACCAGCACTTACAATGATGGCAGGTGGGCTTTCCACCCCATCCTGGGTGCCACGAAAGAACCCGCTTCACCCCCCCCCAAAAAAGTACCTGTCTAAAAACTGTCCAGCCCACACCAGGGGTTCCCTCCCCCCTCTCTTGCAACACTCACCATAATTCTGATTGCGTTACTCAGTTCCATGAAATAACGGCTCTTTGAGTCCTCTAAGCTGGAATTGTATATTTTATTGTTGATGTGGTAGCTGATGTAAAAAATGGCTTTGATAACAGGAGGTTTCGTTGTACGCGACAAACTGGGAGTTGGTCGTTGTGGAGTTGAGGTTGTTACAAGGCTGGTCAAGTGGGAGGTGGATGGTACGACCCTCGTGGAGGGTGAGGTTGTCTGTTTGGTTGTAGGCTGAACACTGGATGCCGCTGGGTTGTTTTCAGATGAGGGTGTTGATTTGGGCCCCGCTGTGATGGGTGAGGTTGTCAACTTGGTTGTAGGCTGAACACTGGGTGTTGCGGTGGTGTTTCCAGGGGAGGGTGTTGAATTGGTCCTCACTGTGGGAGGCACGGATGTCAACTTGGTTGTAGGCTGAACACTGGGTGTTGCGGTGGTGTTTCCAGGGGAGGGTGTTGAATTGGTCCTCACTGTGGGAGGCACGGATGTCAACTTGGTTGTAGGCGGAACACTGGGTGTTGCGGTGGTGTTTGCAGGGGAGGGTGTTAAATCGGTCTCCCTTGTGGGAGACACGGATGTCAACTTGGTTGTAGGCGGAACACTGGGTGTTGTGGTGGTGTTTCCTGGGGAGAGTGTTAAATCGGTCTCCCCTGTGGGAGACACGGATGTCAACTTGGTTGTAGGCAGAACACTGGGTGTTGCGGTGGTGTTTCCTGGGGAGAGTGTTAAATCAGTCTCCCCTGTGGGAGACACGGATGTCAACTTGGTTGTAGGTGGAACACTGGGTGTTGTGGTGGTGTTTCCAGGGGAGAGTGTTAAATCAGTCTCCCCTGTGGGAGACACGGATGTCAACTTGATTGTAGGTGGAATACTGGGTGTTGCGGTGGTGTTTCCAGGGGAGAGTGTTAAATCGGTCTCCCCTGTGGGAGACACGGATGTCAACTTGATTGTAGGTGGAACACTGGGTGTTGCGGTGGTGTTTCCAGGGGAGAATGTTAAATCAGTCTCCCCTGTGGGAGACATGGATGTCAACTTGATTGTAGGTGGAACACTGGGTGTTGCGGTGGTGTTTCCAGGGGAGAGTGTTAAATCAGTCTCCCCTGTGGGAGACACGGATGTCAACTTGGTTGTAGGTGGAGCACAACATATTATGGTGGTGTTTCCAGGGGAGAGTGTTAAATCGGTCTCTCCTGTGGTTGACACGGATGTCAACTTGATTGTAGGTGGAACACTGGGTGTTGCGATGGTGTTTCCAGGGGAGGGTGTTGGTTTGGTCCCTACTGTGGTGAGTAAGGTTGCCAATTTGGTTGTTGACTGAACAGTGGGTGTTGTCGAGCTTCTTGTAGTTGAAGGTGTTGGTTCGGTCTGCATTGATGAGGATGTTGCTACAGTTTCTGTAGTGGGAGACGGGGTGTCTGGTTTGGTTTTAGGTGGAGGGATGGAGGATGTGGAGATGGGTTCAGTCAAGGATGTTGTTCTGGTCTCCAGCGTGGTGGTTGTGTGTTTTGGTGTGTTTGTAGCTGGAGAACCGGATTCTGTTGCTGTTCTTACGGCTGTACTACCTTCTGAAGAGCCTGTAAATATAAATTTTAATCACTTCTCAGAAATGCCTTACCATTTATTGAGGCACTCTTCCTTTCTATTTCAAATCATTTACAGCTAGTCCCCCACTTAGTGACCATTCAAACGGCACCGAAAAAAGCAAGATATACATATAGATATATAGTATATTAATTCTTTCCTCCTTTTAGAGCTTTGTGTAATAATCCCTCATTTGTTAAGAGTTCTACCTGTATATCATCTACATATGTATACAGATTGTCCTTGACGTACGGCCCCAATTGAGCCCAAATTTTCTGTTGCTCAGCGAGACATTTGGTTAAATGAGTTTTGTCCCCATTTTACGACTTTTCTCGCTGCCATTGGTAAGGGAACCCCTGCCGTTTTGAAGCAAATTTGTGCGGTTGTGACGCAAATCCAGCATTCCCCCTTGATTTTGCTTGTCAGAACGTCGCAAAAGGGGGAATCACAGGACCCCCCCCCGGGACCCTACAACCGTCATAAATACGAGTCAGTTGCCAAGCTGACTCGTATTTAAAGCAAATACGAGTCAGTTGCCAAGCTGACTCGTATTTAAAGCAAGCTGACTCGTATTTAAAGCAATTTTTAAATTAACTTGACCAAATTACTAATATTTGTTTTTACTTATGTTTTTAAATTGTAGTTTTTGGGGATTAGTGTTTTATTTGGTTGTTAGCCGCCCTGAGTCCGTAAGGAGAAGGGCGGGATATAAATTAAATTAATAATAATAATAATAATAAAGCATCCGAATTTTGTTCACGTGACCACGGAGACGCTGCAAAACCATCGTGAGAAAAACAGTCCCGGCTCCCTTTTTCAAGTGCCGTTGTTAACTTTGAACGGTCACTAAACGGGGCGTTGTAAATTGAGGACTCTCTGTACGCAAAAACAGGGGAGGTGAATTTAATTCTGCTGTAGTTTCTCTTTGGAAGGTGTGCCCACTTTAGATAGAGTTAAAGGCAGCGTTGACTGCCTTTAACTGGTCTGGAAGTCCGAGAAACTAGACAAGGCAGGATAAACGGTCAAAGAGGAATTTATTGACAATACGGTAGCCGCCTGCGTGAATTCTGCCCTTTCTCGTTTGGAAGAAGCGCGAGATGAACAGATATATAGACCTAGAGGGGATATACAGGCAGTCCTTGACTTACAACAATTCATTTAGTGACAGAATTGAAAAAAAATAACAAACTATATTTCAGACCTATGACCGTCGCAGCGTCCGCGGGACCACGAGATCAAAATCTGGGCGTTTGGCATCTGATTCATACTTATGATGGCTGCAGCGTCCCCGCGGTCACGCGAGCAACATTCGGACGTATCCTAGTCTGTTTTCTGTTCAATCATTAGCCCAGCTCAGACCAGGATCCTTCGTAGAACGCCTACTTGTGGGTGCCAGCCCAAAGAAACGAAAATTTAAAAAGAGCCAAATTTGGACGCACGGGGCTGCTTCGGATGCTAAAAGATCGCTCGTTGGCTTTCATCTTTAATTAGTCGGGTGGTATCACCCTGTGCCCAGGGATTCAGATAAAAGGAAAAGAGAACATTGCGTGGGAAGAGAGCAGATTCCTGACTCGGGGTCCGTGAAAAATTATCTTGCGTCCCATCCGCAGATTTTGCCTCTGGAATTGGATATTTTCATATTTGATTCACCCACTCCAAAATTACAAAGCTCAGGATGTTCCCTTCTTCTTCAGTTCAATTTTTTTTTTTTTTTTTTTTTTTTGGCCCCGGACACAATTTCTCAACTCTGCCCAACCGGATCTAAACGCTCCCCACTTTGAGCCTGAAGTCCCTTAAAAAGATGGATTTTTAAAACTTGCAAGTCCTCAACGTAAAACGATTTAATTCATGACCGTGGCCAGGAAAAGTCGTCAAATGGGGCAAAACTCATTCAACCAAATGTTTCTCTGAGCAGCAGATATATTGGGCTTGACTGCGGTCGTAAGCCGAGGGCTTATCTGTAATCCTAAGGCAGGAAACAGTCTCCAAAGCGGTGACTTAATTGCAAAGGGCCGTGTGTGTGTGTGTGTGTGTGTGTGTGTGTGTGTGTGTATGTGTGGGTTTTAATCTTTCTTGGAAAAAAACCCCGGAAAATCGAAGAAAAGGCTCCCCCAAGTTATTTGCAAAATTCTGCCATCTTTGCAAAAGATCCCAATTAGAGACAGGTGGATCGGTTCAGAACAGGTAAAGGTGTGTAAGAGAGAGGGGGGGAGGTGGCAAGAAGGAGGGGGGGTTTAGAATATATTTTTAGCTACTTTCAAAGGTGTGTCAAGTACCCGGAAAGCTTTCAAGCACGTCTAAACGACGAGGGAAACTTCAGCCAAAAATGCAAAATTTTTCACGCACGAAAGGCGCAAAGGTCATCTTCCAAGCTGGGGCAGCTGTTGAAATGGATCACTTCGCTGCCTCCCCCACCCCACCCCATTTTCTCTTCCTCAACCCACCCACCCTCGCCCCAGCTTCAAGATCAGCCCTGCCTCGTGGTGCTGGATCTTTCTGCATCCATCTGGAACGATCCCACGCTGGGATCCCGAGGCAAACCGAAGAAAAATCAAACAAGGGAATATCCAGAAGAAAAAGGACAGCAGGGAGAAAGGATCTATTGTCCTAGATCTACTTTCCCCGGGGGTGAGGAGGGGGAGATCCACTCCTCTCCTGGGCACCCAGAAGCCCCTTCCTCCCATTCTCTCCCCTTCCACCCCCTCTATCTTTGCACGCCTCTCACCTGTGATGATCAGTCCCAGGTGTATCAGCAGGAGAATCCAAGCCATGATCCAGTTTCTAAGTAATCGAGTAATCTTCCCGGACTGGGGTGCCGCTCTTCGCTTCAGGATATTAAAAAGGGAAGGCTGGGAGGGCAGGTATATAACAGAGGCACCTGAGTCCAGGTAAGAGGCAGGCCACACCCCGGGGGCCGGTCCAGGGAGGGAGATCTGACACCAGCTTCTAAATTTGACCCTTCTGCTTTCTTGGTGGTGTTTCCATCAGAATATAGTGCATTTGTGTGTGTATATGTGTGGTGTGTGTTTGTCTAGGTTTTGTGTGTGTGTTTGTGTACGTGGGTGGGTAGGGAGTGGGCTCCATCGGTCCCCCTGAAGGAGCGCCCCACAAATCCGAATACGGAAGCACAAAAATCTGGGTAGGGGTGGTCCTGGACTTACGACCGCCGTTGCTAAGCAAGGCGGTTGCTAAGTTCGCCCCTGCCTGATTTTACAACCGTTCGGGCCGCAGGGCGGTGAAGTGAATCCCTGCAGTTGTTACAAAGCGGATGCTGTGGTCGCTAAGCGAATCCTGTGCTTGTTAAGTGGATCACTGCGGTTGTTAAGAGGATCCTGTGGTCGCTAAGCGGATTCTGTGGTGGTTAAGCAGATCCTGTGGGTTGTATTTCTGAGGGGGATAGGAAGCCCGGATCGAGAGGGATCCGGCGAAGGAGTCGGTGGAAAGTTATTTCAAAGAGGCCCAGTTTTATTTCCGAGGCTGCCGATTGTCTGCCGACAAAGAGGCCATTAGCTTTTCACCCGATTGTTTAGCTTTAGTAAATTACTATTAGGAAGTGGTGCCCGTTGACTTAACTGAAAAGAACTTAATGGGCCCTTAATGTGTATTTAACAAGTGGCGCTTTCCAGGCTCCGGTTTTCCAAATTAACTGGAGAAAGTAAAGTACAAGGTGTGGCAGTTTTAGCTACTTGCTTGAAAAGCTCCCTGGCTTTGCTGCGGAAGACTCACGATAGCATCCTGTCCTTCGCTAAGTTTCTAGTCCTCATGGACTGGGAAGAAACGGTCGCTTCGGGCAGGGCCCAAGCCTCCGTCCCAAAGGAGAACCGTTTCTCCCCCCCCCCCCCGCCCAGCAGCATATAAAAAGATAAGAAACGTTTTTATTTTTATTTTAATTTTAAACCTGACTCAAGGGAAAAGAGATGGCAAAAAAAAAGAAAATGGAATTTGTCAAGTTAAAAATGTTGTCAGCTCAAAGGGCCAAAGCAGGAAGAAGCTGCTTGAAAAGGTAGCCGGAAAAATGGAAGCTGGTGGTAGCAATGGCTGAGAGAACGCCGTTAAAGGCAGATGGGAGAAGATCCTTCCTTCCTTCCTTCTTCCCTCTGTCCTTTCCTGCCTCCCTTTCTTCCCTATCTCGCTCTCTTCCTCNAAAGTACAGACAAAGTCCAACTTTAAATTAATAAAAAAAAACAAAACCCAGGAAAACAACGCTGGGGACCGGCAGCCTTTCCTTTCCACGGCAGCCCGGGAAAAGGCCCTGAAAAGAGGGAGCTGCAAGGCAGAGGTAGACTGCCCCTGAGCATGGAGGTTCCACTCAGTCCAGGCTGCCTTTGCCCCAGGCTTATCCCCTCAATTAATTTATGTAGCCTTAATAGCCTCTTCCTTATTTTCCTCACCCTGGGAATTTACAACGCCGATGGAGGGGAGGGGAATTTCTCTTCTCCAATTTTCCACAGCCCCATCCATCATCTTCTCCCTTCCTGGCCTCCACCTCACCTCCCTCGCTGGCCCTCCCGCCAAGGCCGGAGGGGGGGCAGGTGGGCTTCCTCCACCCACCCAAAATGCCCAGAAGGAGGCCGGACACCCCCTCCCCCAAATAAAGTTTTCTGGGTTGATGGTGGGGGCTTCCGTTGTTGGGCACCTCTCTGTCTTTGTGGCCCAGAGTGTTGTGTTTTTTTTTGGGGGGGGGGAGGGGATAGAGGTGAGGGTCCCACTTTAGGAGGATGCTTGAAAAGTCCCGATTTGCCCGCCGCCGGTGGCTTTGTTTGCGAAGAGGGAGGGTAGAAGTGAGGGGCAGAAGGAGTTAGGCTTGGCGTGCCAACGCTGCTGATCTGGCCTCCGTCCAACTTTTCTCCGCTTTCCATTCACACTGGCCTTTTCAGTCTGGTGCCCTCCCCTCCCCTCCCTTCCTTCCTTTTCTTTCTGTTCCTCCCTCTCTTCCTTCCCCCCTCTCTCTCTCCCTCCCTCCCTTCCTTGCTTCCTTCCTCTCTCCCTTCCCATCCCTTCTGCTCCTTTCTTCCTTCCTTCCTGCCTTCCCTTCCCTTCTGCTCCCTCCTTCCCTTCCTTTCTCTCTCTCTCTCTCTCTCTCTCTCTCTCCATTCCCTTCCCTCTCCTCCCCTCCCTTCCTTTCCATCTCTTCTGCTCCTTCCTCCCTTCCTGCCTTCCCTTCCCTTCTGCTCCCTCCCTCCTTCCCTTCCCTTCCTTTCTCTCTCTCTCTCTCTCTCTCTCCATTCCCTTCCTTCCCTCTCCTCCCCTCCCTTTTCCCTTCCTTTCCATCTCTTCTGCTCNTCCCCTGTCCCTCCCAGGAATCCCTGACTCAACCTCTCCCTCTGGATGGAACATCCTGAACTCCTCCTGGGTGGGAGGACCGGAGACCCCAGGGTGACCCTGAGCGCTGGGCACTTCAAGGGCCCTGATGTCCTGGCTGAGGCCGCTGCTTATCGGCCAGAGGGTCCCGTGGACGTCTGGCTCTTGCGCAAGGGGGCAGCCTTGGGGACAGGGGTCAGGGGAGACGCCCTCATCCAGGACCGGCAGGTCCTCCTCCTTTCCAGGGAGCCCCCTCTTATCTCCAGCCCAGGATCCAGGCTGGAGAGGGAACAGCTGCCATCTTTTCACACCGAAGAACTTACCTTTATTTATTTATTCGAGTATAACGCGCAAAATTTTCTACCCAAAAAAAGAAATCAAAGTTTGGGTGCGCGTTATAAACGAGGGCTGGGGTGGGGTGACGCAGTGGCGGCCGGTCCATTGAGGGCGCAGGCGAATTGTGAGTTCGCACTGTGCCTTTTCCGGGCTTCAGCCACTCACGTGAGGGCGAAGAAAAAAAAAAAAGTCCCCTCGTCGCGTACAGGGGACGGCCCGAACTGGCGAGATGCACTTCCCTTTCCCGTTAGATGGCAACTCAGGGTATCAAGAGAAAACGTTCTGCATATGACGCGAATTGTGAGTTCGCACTCCAGCCTGTCAGAAATTCCAGTCCCAGTTTGGGTCATAAAATGTGTGTGTGTGTGTGTGTGTGTGATATTTCTCCATTGTTGTCCTTCTTTCCTTCCTTCCTTCCTTCCTTCCTTCCTTCCTTCCTTCCTTCCTTCCTCCCTCCCTCCCTCCCTCCCTCCCTCCACTTTCTTTGTTTATGTTATGTTTATGTTTATTATATTTATATCCCGCCCTTCTCCTTGCGGACTCAGGGCGGCTAACAGCCAGATAAAACCACTACAAAAATACAAAATGCTACAGTTAAAAACATAATTAAAAGACAATATTAACATTTGGCCAAGTTAATTTAAAATTATTTTAAAACCCCCGCTAAAAATTTCCCCTAGGCCAGTCCTGCAAGCTGAAATAGCCATGTCTTAAGGGCGCGGCGGAAGGAAGGGAGATCAGGGATCACCCTGATCTCTGGGGGCAGCTCATTCCAGAGGGTGGGAGCTCCCACCGAGAAGGCCCTCCCCCTTGGGGTCGCCAGCCGGCACTGTCTGGCCGACGGCACCCTGAGGAGACCCACCCTGTGGGAGCGTACAGGTCGATGGGAGGCACTCTGAGGCAGAAGGCGGTCTCGAAGATATCCAGGTCCGATGCCATGGAGCGCTTTGAAGGTGATAATCAACACCTTGAAGCGCACCCGGAAAGCCACCGGCAGCCAGTGCAGCTCGCGCAGCAGCGGTGTTACATGGGAGCGACGAGTCCCTCCCAACACCGCCCGCGCGGCCGCATTTTGGACTAGCTGGAGCCTCCGGGTGCTTCTCAAGGGGAGCCCCATGTAGAGAGCATTGCAGTAGTCCAGGCGGGAGGTGACAAGGGCATGGGTGACTGTGCGCAAGGCGTCCCGGTCCAGAAAAGGTCGCAACTGGTGGATCAGGCGTACCTGATAGAACGTACCTTTCAATCGTTCCTCTCCTCCCCTCTAATTCTCCTTCCTTCCTTCCTCCCTCCCTCCCCTTTTTCAATCCTTCCTTCCATCTCCCTCTAATTCCCCTTCCTTCCTTCCTTCCTTCCTTCCTTCCTTCCTTCCTTCCTTCCTTCCTTCCTTTCTTCCTCCCTCCACTTTCTTTCAATCCTTCCTTCCCTCCCGCTTAATTCCCCTTCCTTCCTTCCTTTCTCCCTCCCTCCACTTTTTCAATCCTTCCTTCCATCTCCCTCTAATTCCCCTTCCTTCCTTCCTTCCTTCCT